TAGTTATGTTATAACTGTAATGATTCTCAAGAACCCATAGTGAAATTTACCTTAACCAGAAAATAGTTATTCCTTTGTTAATCAAGTTAGCTTTCTGACTTCTGGGTTCTACCTTGTGTAATACAACCCAAATATTCAAGACTAAAACACACACTGTTAAGAAAGAGGTGAATTACAAATAAAAGGACAATTTGTACAGTACTCTCCCATATAAGTCTCGACTTGAACAAGAAAAACCAAAAGGCTGAGAAAATACTTAAGCAAAGCAACAAAACAAATGGTGTCGTGCGTGGAAAAGCTCATATCCACTGCCCATTTTACATTTGTTAGTAAACTTTTCTAATTCACATATAAATTTGCATGCCAGATATTGGTAGTAAAATAGCATTATGGTGAGAAAATAACAAGAAAATAGCTAGCTTTGAATATATGCAGTAAATCTAGACAGGTAGGCACTATTTCTTCTCTGCCTAACGTGTGGTCACCTCAAAATCGCTGGGATGAACCCTATACCAAAGTATATTTTCCTGAGACTAGCCACATAGTAGTGAATTGTGATCGATGGGGAGGGTAATAAGGGGTTCAATCTGGGCTATGTTCAGTAGGCAAATGTGGAACATCGCAGACAAAAATGTAATCAATAGAGCTGACATGATTCCTTATGATAAACTGGGTGGTTTGAGCCCTGAATGCTGATTGCTGACAGCCGTGGTATATTAGACCGTATACCACGGGTAAGGAAAAACATTTATTTTTAGTGCTCTAATTACATTGGTAACCAGTTTATAAAAGCAATAAGGTACCTCGGGGGTTTGTGGTATATGGCCAATAATACCACGGCTAAGGGCTGTATCCAGGCACTCCGTGTTGCGTCGAACACAAGAACAGCACTTAGCTGTGGTATATTGGCCATATACCACATCCCCTCGGGTCTTATTCCTTAATTCTAACATGTCAGAGAGGCTTGGGTGTTCTTCATCACATATTTTTTATCTGAACGCTCCACAATGTTGCCCTGCTGAATGCGGCGCTGTAAAGGCGAGGAAGAGCATACTAAAAGGGATGTGGTTATACAATCTCTTGCCTGGACGTTGGTGTTGCCACTTGACAATCGTGGTCAGTGTCTTAAGGCACAGAAAGAGAATGAGAAACGCTACGATACTGCACAAGTGCTTCTGAATACGCAAATAAATAAGGTAGTAGCTGTATGTGGTACTTGAGGAGATAATGGGTGGGTGGTTAAGTGTCACAAACAGGGGTTGCGTTCCTGCAAATATAGGTAACAAAGAACGATTGTATACACAGTTTAAAAATGTCAAGACATGATCACACAGACCATTCAAAATGGATATTCTCAGTGAACGGGTAACACTATTAACGTCTTAAACAGCAAGGTATGATCCGGGCAAATGGTTAATTCCTAAACCTTTTTTTGTTTTGTTTTTAATTCATACTAAATTAGCCAAGCAAAAATAATGCAGGTCATTGGTTATCGCTGGGTTTTATAATGTAGTCTAATTAATTTATGAGTAGCATTTCAATAGTTAATAGTTGTTACTATTTACCAGTTAATTTAAGCAACATGTACTGATACACTAAGTGAAACTAGTTCAGTGTAATAAGAAGCAAGAGGAGTTTGAATTAAGGCTAGTAAACTTGACATTCAAAGGCAGAAGATAGTGTACATGCATTATGCATGTTGTGAGGCAGAATGTACATTGCACATGGCATTTCAAACCAACGGCCCCATTTTGAGGATGCAAAGGGCCAAAATACTGTATTATCATACTTCAAATACTCAGTGATGGAATTTACTTGAAAAATTTTAATTCAGAGGAATCCATTCTGAATGGCAATTTTGTTACGTTGATTTTGAATTTAACAGTGAAGAGATGCAAGTTTCAAATCACTTAATTTGTTACATTCCAAACCTTTAGAAACAAATGCAGCACTGAGCATTTAAAGAAATGTGGTGTGCTTTGACTATAGCGCCTCTCTTTTTGACAATGCCAAAATACCAACCTGAAGAGTGAAGAGCTATAAGGCAAATTGATGCTGGTTTGAGAGACAAGGTAGCTTTCCCTGAAAAAGAGCCTCCCTATCAGCCAATAAAGTTGCATACACAGGATCTGTAGTACAAAGAGTGACTATGACAATCAAGTGCACTGTCTGGATGAGCGCTTCAGACAACAGGGTTACCCAGATGATTGGCTGTATGACGCATGGGACTGTTATAAAAATATGACCCAGCCTCACTCCCAACCATCCCTTCCACCGATACCACGTAGCACCTTCCTAGACAATGTGCCGGACGGTAATTACAGATGTGGCCGATGTACCCAGTGTAACTTTACGAACAAATGCAAATCGTTCAAATCACCCCATCACAGGCAAGGCCATTAAGATTAAGGGTATCATCACGTGTTCTACAAAAAATATGGTTTACCTGATCAAGTGCATTTGTGGTCTATGCTATGTAGGAAAAACTGAACAAGCTCTGAAAACAGAACACAGGAGTAATATCAGGACTCTTGATCAGAGAAACTGTGGCTGCACATTTCATGGAGGCTCGTCACAACAGCTCTCTTAGATACATTGGTACTGAATTGTATTGGAGTCACCGTTTGTCCACCATGTCTGATAAAGGTCTGAACAAAGAGTTTGATATCAGACCATGTCTTACATAACGTAACATATTTATGTAAGACATGGTCTGATATCAAACTCTTTGTTCAGACCTTTATCAGACATGGTGGACAAACGGTGACTCCAATACAATTCAGTACCATATATTACCATTGGTCTTGCCATCCAGGTCTCAAATTGGTAATTTTGTACATATGTACAGTACCAGTCAAAAGTGTGGACACACTTACTCATTCAAGGGTTTTTATTTATTTTTACTATTTTCTACATTGTACAATAATAGTGAAGACATCAAAACTATGAAATAACATATATGGAATCATGTAGTAACCAAAAAAAGTGTTAAACAAATCAAAATATATTTGAGATTTTTCAAAGTAGCCACCCTTTGCCTTGATGACAGCTTTGCACACTCTTGGCATTCTCTCAACCAGCTTCATGAGGTAGTCACCTAGAATGCATTTCAATTAACAGCTGTGCCTTGTTAAAAGTTAATTTGTGGAATTTCCTTCCCAAAGAGAAACGACAGTCCATCAATACTTTAAGACATTAAGGTCAGTCAATACGGAACATTTCAAGAACTTTGAACGTTTCTTAAAGTGCAGTCGCAAAAACCATCAAGCGCTATGATGAAACTGGCTCATGAGGACCGCCACAGGAAAGGAAGACCCAGAGTAACCTCTGCTGCAGAGGATAAGTTCATTAGAGTTACCAGCCTCAGAAATTCCAGCCCGAATAAATGCTTCACAGAGTTCAAGTAAAAGTCACATCTCAACATCAACTGTTCAGAGACTGCATGAATCAGGCCTTCATGGTCGAATTGCTGCAAAGAAACCACTACTAAAGGACACCAATAAGAAGAAGAGACTTGCTTGGGCCAAGAAACACAAGCAATGGACATTAGACCAATGGAAAATCTGTCCTTTGGTCTGATGAGTCCAAATTTGAGATATTTTGTTCCAAACGCCATGTCTTTGTGAGACGTGGAGTAGGTGAACGGATGATCTCCGCATGTGTGATTCCCACCGTGAAGCATGGAGGTGGTGGTGGTGTTTTGCTGGCGACACTGTCAGTGAATTATTTACCATTCAAGGCACACTTAACCAGCATGGGACAATCATTTGTTTTTCAACAAGCCAACGACCCAACACACCTCCAGGCTGTGTAAGGGCTATTTGACCAAGAAGGAGAGTGATGGAGTGCTGCATCAGATGACCTGGCCTCCACAATCACCCAACCTCAACCCAATTGTGATTGTTTGGGATGAGTTGGACCGCAGCGTGAAGGAAAAGCAGCCAACAAGTGCTCAGCATATGTGGGAACTCCTTCAAGACTGTTGGAAAAGCATTCCAGGTAAAGCTGGATGAGAGAATACCAAAAGTGTGCCAAACTGTCATCAAGGCAAAGGGTGGCTACGTAGAAGAATCTCAATCTAAAATATATATTTGGATTTGTTTAACACTTTTTTGGTTACTACATGATTCTATATGTGTTATTTCATAGTTTTGATGTCTTCACTATTATTCTACAATGTAGAAAATAGTAAAAATAAAGAAAGAACCTTGAATGAGTAAGTGTGTCCACACTTTTGACTGGTACTGTATATATTATATTTTCTGTGACTGCTACATGTGCCCATCTCATTTATATCTAATTATTAGGAGGTACACAATTGGTTTTGAAATAGGTCACTGTAATTATATCTATGGCCACCGCGCCTCCTGTGCGTAATGGACATATGCCAACGTGATCTTTTTTACTGTTGCCTAGGTTTGAACTCAGCCCGATTTGTATGTATATAATCCTTTATGACCATATGTACCTCTGATTAACTATGAGCAAAAGTTAATTGAATTGTTTCCACACCCACCATGTGTCATGGTCATGTGAGGTGAAATGTGTACATTTTGGGATGTGAGCACTCCGTCTATTTGACCTGACGAAGACCCGGTTTGGATCTAAATGTTGTCAATAAAGCGGTGAACTGGGATCATAAACAGTGTGCGGGCCTTCCTGTTCTTTAAACATTCTCAGAGTATGGCCATAAGCAGCATAGCTAAACATTTTTGTAAAAAGATAGCTGTATATCGTAACACACCTTCCTACATTTTTCTCAGTACTTACTTCCAAACAAACCTTTCCTACTATGCTTTTTCTTCAACAGGTTTTTTTTTTTTTATATAATCAATTGCCACGTCAAGAAGATCAGAGAAGAATCCAATAGCTCATATATTACTTACATTTCACATTTGGGAATTGACAAAAATAGACAATAAACCAATGGAATCAAAACCATTGGATGTTTTCTGGGTGCTTGCTCTTGTTGGGGTGCAGGGGTCAAAGGTGAAAGTTCAGGACTGTTGGCCGTCCCACTGGTTGGCCATGGGCCGCCGCAGGAGCTCCTCCACGTGTCGGGCCACATCCATGGTGTCTTCCAGGTCAAACTCTCCATCTGCGTCCATCATGGGGTCACTTCTGCTGGGGTGGGAAGGGAGACACACAGACCGCTATCAGTAAGGCATAATGTCTGATAGAATATCTGTACCAAAAGCCGGACATGTAGAGAAAAGGAATCATTAGTGATGGGGGAAAGAATCTATAGTAGCGCAGGGGCATTGAGCTCCGAAGCCTGCTGGTTCTGTTCTACCTGATAATTAATTGCACCCACAGGGTGTCCCACATCTAAATCAGTCCCTGAATAGAGAGAACCAATGTAAAAATGCAGTGGAACTGGCTTCGAAGTCCAGAGTTGTATGAGGGTAGTATGGTACCGCAATATATATATTTTTCCTATTTTATTTCGATACTGTGACTCCAAGTACCGATTTGCCACAGGCAGTATTTCTCATCATATAGCTTGTTCTCCTCTTCTTTTTAAAAATGGTGAGCCAACAGGTTATCTCCATGACTGATCAAAACTTGTTTTTTCATGGCTCTCTCTTGTCCCTCTGCAGCAGACATAGTGAGCAATGTTTGGAACATCGACTCAAAAAAATTGCAGTATCGAATCACAATACATATAGAATCGAGTTACAGTTGAAGTCGGAAGTTTACATACACCTTAGCCAAATACATTTAAACTCAGTTTTTCACAATTCCTGACATTTAATCCTAGTAAGAATTCCCTGTCTTAGGTCAGTTAGGATCACCACTTTATTTTAAGAATGTGAAATGTCAATAATTTTTATTGATTTATTTCACCTTTATTTAACCAGGTAAGCCAGTTGAGAACAAATTGAGTAGAGAGAATGATTTATTTCATCACATTCCCAGTGGGTCAGAAGTTTACATACACTCAATTAGTGTTTGGTAGCATTGCCTTTAAATTGTTTAACTTGGGTCAAACGTTTCGGATAGCCTTCCACAAGCTTCCCACAATAAGTTGGGTGAATTTTGGCCCATTCCTCCTGACAGAGCTGGTGTAACTGAGTCAGGTTTGTAGGGCTCCTTGCTCACACAATCTTTTTCAGTTCTGCCCACACATTTTCTATAGGATTGAGGTCAGGGCTTTGTGATGGCCACTCCAATACCTTGACTTTGTTGTCCTTAAGCCATTTTGCCACAACTTTGGAAGTATGTTTGGGGTCATTGTCCATCTGGAAGACCCATTTGCGACCAAGCTTTAACTTCCTGACTGATGTCTTGAGATGTTGCTTCAATATATCCACATAATTTTCCTTCCTCATGATGCCATCTATTTTGTGAAGTGCACCAGTCCCTCCTGCAGCAAAGTACCACCACAGCATGATGCTGTCACCCCCGTGCTTCACGGTTGGGATGGTGTTCTTCGGCTTGCAAGGAACCCCCTTTTTCCTCCAAACATAACGATGGTCATTATGGCCAAACAGTTCTATTTTTGTTTTATCAGACCAGAGGACATTTCTCCAAAAAGTACGATATTTGTCCCCATGTGCAGTTGCAAACTGTGGTCTGGCTTTTTTATGGCGGTTTTGGAGCAGTGGCTTCTTCCTTGCTGAGCGGCCTTTCAGGTTATGTCGATATAGGACTGGTTTTACTGTAGATATAGATACTTTTGTACCTGTTTCCTCCAGCATCTTCACAAGGTCCTTCGCTGTTGTTCTGGGATTGATTTGCACTTTTCCCACCAAAGTACGTTCATCTCTAGGAGACAGAACGTGTCTCCTTCCTGAGCGGTATAACAGCTGCGTGGTCCTATGGTGTTTATACTTGCGTACTATTGTTTGTACAGATGAACGTGGTACCTCAGGTGTTTGGAAATTGCTCCCAAGGATGAACCAGACTTGTCTACACATTTTTTTTCTGATGTCTTGGCTGATTTATTTTGATTTTCCCATGATGTCAAGCAAAGAGGCACTGAGTTTGAAGGTAGGCCTTGAAATACATCCACAGGTACACCTCCAATTGACTCAAATGATGTCAATTAGCCTATCAGAAGCTTCTAAAGCCATGACATCATTTTCTGGAAAATGTCCAAGCTGTTTAAAGGCACAGTCAACTTAGTGTATGTAAACTTCTGACCCACTGGAATTGTGAAACAGTGAAATATAAGTGAAATAATCTGTCTGTAAACAATTGTTGGAAAAATTACTTGTGTCATGCACAAAGTAGATGTCCTAACCGACTTGCCAAAACTATAGTTTGTTAACAAGAAATGTGTGGAGTGGTTGAAAAACGAGTTTTAATGACTCCAACCTAAGTGTATGTAAACCTCCGACTTCAACTGTACATATAGAATCGCTAAACATATCGTATCGGCACCGAAGTACCATGATAATATTTTGTTGTGAAGTCCCTGGCAATTCCCAGCCCTAGAAATCACGTCAGTCAGTCTGAAAAAGACCATATTAGCAAACCGGTGACTTAGCAAGCATTATGACTGGGCTTCTGGTACAGTTTGTAGTGTGCTAGCCTTGAAACCCAAGGGTAGGGAGTTTGATTCCCACCTGACTTTTTCAGATTTCAAGAGAGAACATAACGTTTATATTGGATTTTCATGACAATTACGCTGGCATACACTATGCTGTCTATGTGAATTTGCGCACGCTACTCTCACACACACAAAATTCACAAGGGTGTCAGTGGGATCCAGCTACAGCAAGACCACTGAAGGCATGACCCGGGAATCGCGTGAAGTGGAGATAGCGTAGCAACCACGCAGTTAATAGGGCTGGGAATCGCCAGGGACCTCACAATTTTATCACGATACTCAGGTGCCGATACAATATGTATTGCGATTCTCACGATTCTATATGTATTGCGATTCGATTGTGATATGATGTTCCAAATAAATTGCTCACTATATGCTGCAGAGAGACAAGAGATAGCATGAGAAAACAAGTTTTGATCAGTCAGGGAAATAAGTCCTGAAAACATGTTAGCTCACTATTTAAAAAGAAGATGGAGAAAAATATATAGGATGAAAAATAGTTCTGGCGCAGGTACAACAGACTAGCGTTAACGAACGCTACCTACAGTAAAACAAATATGTACAATGAGCGTACAAAACATTAAGTACACCTGCTCTTTCCATGACAGACTGACCAGGTGAAAGCTATGAAAGGGGGTGCAACACAATATTAGGAAGGTGTTCTTAATGTTTTGTACACTCAGTATGTGTATACAATATTGAGTTGCACCCCCTTCTGCTCTCAGAACAGCCTCAATTTGTCGGGGCATGGAATCTACAAGGTGTCGAAAGCAGTCCACAGGGATGATGGCCCATGTTGACTCCAGTGCTTCCACAGTTGTGTCAAGTTGGCTGGATGTCCTTTGGGTGGTGGACTATTCTTGATACACACGGGAAACTGTTGAGCGTAAAAAACCCAGAAGCGTTTCAGTTCTTGACAAACCGGTGTGCCTGGCACCTACCATACCCCGTTCAAAGGCGCTTAAATCTTTGTCTTCCCCATTCACCCTCTGAATGGCACACATACAATATGTCTCAATTCTCTCAAGGCTTAAAAATCCTTCTTTAACCTGTCTCCTCCCCTTCATCTACACTGATTGGAGTGGATTTAACAAGTAACATCAATAAGGGATCATAGCTTTCACCTGGTCAGTCTACAGTGCCTTGCAAAAGTATTCATCCCCCTTGGCGTTTTTCCTATTTTGTTGCATTACAACCTATAATTTAAATGGATTTTTATTTGGATTTCATGTAATGGACATACACAAAATAGTCCAAATCGGTGAAGTGAAAAAAATAACTTGTTTAATTTTTATTTTTTATTTTTTTAATTACGGAAATGTGGTGTGTGCATATGTATTCACTCCCTTTGCTATGAAGCCCCTAAATAAGATCTGGTGCAACCAATTACCTTCAGAAGTCACATAATTAGTTAAATAAAGACCACCTGTGTGCAAACTAAGTGTCACATGACCTCAGTATATATACACACACCTGTTCTGAAAGGCCCCAGAGCCTGCAACACCACTAAGCAAGGGGCACCACCAAGTAAGCAGTACCCTGAAGACCAAGGAGCTCTCCAAACAGGTCAGGGACAAAGTTGTGGAGAAGTACAGATCAGGGTTGGGTTATAAAAAATATCAGAAACTTAGAACATCCCACGGAGCACCATTAAATCCATTATTAAAAAATGGAAAGAATATGGCACCACAACAAACCTGCCAAGAGAGGGCCGCCCACCAAAATTCACGGACCAGGCAAGGAGGGCATTAATCAGAGGCAACAAAGAGACCAAAGATAACCCTGAAGGAGCTGCAAAGCTCCACAGCAGAGATTGGAGTATCTGTCCATAGGACTACTTTAAGCCGTACACTCCACAGAGCTGGGCTTTACAGAAGAGTGGCCAGAAAAAAGCAATTGCTTATAGAAAGAAATAAGCAAACACGTTTGGTGTTCGCCAAAAGGCATGTGGGAGACAGCCCAAACATATGGAAGAAGGTACTCTGGTGAGATGAGACTAAAAATGAGCTTTTTGGCCATCAAGGAAAACGCTATGTCTGGCACAAACCCAACACCTCTCATCACACCGAGAACACCATCCCCACAGTGAAGCATGGTGGTGGCAGCATCATGCTGTGGGGATGTTTTTCCATCGGCAGGGATTGGGAAACTGGTCAGAATTGAAGGAATAATGGATGGCGCTAAATACAGGGAAATTCTTGAGGGAAACCTGTTTCAGTCTTTCAGAGATTTGAGACTGGGACGGAGGTTCACCTTCCAACAGGACAATGACCCTAAGAATACTGCTAAAGCAGCACTCGAGTGGTTTAAGTGGAAACTTTTAAATGTCTTGGAATGGCCTAGTCACAGCCCAGACCTCAATCCAATTGAGAATCTGTGGTACGACTTAAAGATTGCTGTACACCAGCGGAACCCATCCAACTTGAAGGAGCTGGAGCAGTTTTGCCTTGAAGAATGGGCAAAAATCCCAGTGGCTAGATGTGCCAAGCTTATAGAGACATACCCCAAGAGACTTGCAGCTGTAATTGTTGCAAAAGGTGGCTCTACAAAGTATTGACTTTGGGGGGGTGAATAGTTATACATGCTCAAGTTCTGTTTTTCTGTCTTATTTCTTGTTTGTTTCACAATAAAACATATTTTGCATCTTCAAAGTGGTAGGCATGTTGTGTAAATTGAATGATACAACCCCCCCAAAAAATCAATTTTAATTCCAGGTTATAAGGCAACAAAATAGAAAAAATGGCAAAGGGGGGTGAATACTTTCGCAAGCCACTGTATGTCATGAAAAGAGCAGGTGTTTCTAATGTTTTGAACACACACATATACACATATAAATACAGTTGAAGTCAGAAGTTTACATACACTTAGCTTGGAGTCATTAAAACTAGTCTTTCAACCACTCCACACATTTCTTGTTAACAAACTATAGTTTTGGCAAGTCATTTAAGACATCTACTTTGTGCATGAAACAAGTAATTTTTCCAACAATTGTTTATTTCACTTATAATTCACTGTATCACAATTCCAGTGGGTCAGAAGTTTACATACACTAAGTTGACTGTGCCTTTAAACAGCTTGGAAAATTCCTGAAAATGATGAAAACAGATTGTTTCACTTACAAATGACATCATTTGAGTCAATTGGAGGCGTACCTGTGGATGTATTTCAAGGCCTACCTTCAAACTCAGTGCCTCTTTGCTTGACATCATGGGAAAATCAAAAGAAATCAGCCAAGACATCAGAAAAGAAATTGTAGACAAAATAAATTGTAGACCTCCACAAGTCTGGTTCATCCTTGGGAGCAATTTCCAAACGCCTGAAGGTACCACGTTGATCTGTACAAACAATAGTATGCAAGTATAAAAACCATGGGCCCTCGCAGCTGTCATACCGCTCAGGAAGGAGACATGTTCTGTCTCCTAGAGATTAACGTATTTTGGTGCGAAAAGTGCAAATCAATCCCAGAACAACAGCAAAGGACCTTGTGAAGATGCTGGAGGAAACCGGTACAGAGGTATCTATATCTACAGTAAAACGAGTCCTATATCGACATAACCTGAAAGGCCGCTCAGCAAGGAAGAAGCCACTGCTCCAAAACCACCATAAAAAAGCCAGACTACGGTTTGCAACTGCACATGGGGACAAAGATCGTATGTCCTCTGGTCTGATGAAACAAAAATAGAACTGTTTAGCCATAACGACCATCGTTATGTTTGGAGGAAAAAAGGGGTTGCTTGCAAGCCGAAGAACACCATCCCAACCGTGAAGCACGGGGGTGGTGCTTTGCTGCAGGAGGGACTGGTGCACTTCACAAAATAGATGGCATCATGAGGGAAGAAAATTATGTGGATATATTGAAGCAACATCTCAAGGCATCAGTCAGGAAGTTAAAGCTTGGTCGCAAATGGGTCTTCCAAATGGACAATGACCCCAAGCATACTTCCAAAGTTGTGGCAAAATGGCTTAAGGACAACAAAGTCAAGGTATTGGAGTGGCCATCACAAAGCACTGACCTCAATCCTATAGAAAATGTGTGGGCAGGACTGAAAAAGCGTGTGCGAGCAAGGAGGCCTACAAACCTGACTCAGTTACACCAGCTCTGTCAGGAGGAATGGGCCAAAATTCACCCAACTTATTGTGGGAAGCTTGTGGAAGTCTACCCGAAACGTTTGACCCAAGTTAAACAATTTAAAGGCAATGCTACCAAATACTGCCTCGACACAATCCTTTGACCGCATGGCTTGGTTTCTGCGCTGACATGCACTTTCAAATGTGGGACTTTATATAGACAGGTGTGTGCCTTTCCAAATCATGTCCAATCGATTGAATTTACCACAGGTGGACTCCAAATCAAGTTTTAGAAACATCTCAAGGATGATCAATGGAAACAGGATGCACCGGAGCTACATTTTGAGTCTCATAGCAAAGGGTCTGAATACTTATGTAAATAAGGTATCGGTTTATAATTTGTAAGACATTTGCAAACATTTTTAAAAACCTGTTTTTGCTTTGTCATTATGGGGTATTGTGTGTAGACTGATGATGATTTTTTTTATTGAATACATTTTAGAATAAGGCTGTGACGTACTACAAAGTGGAAAAAGGGAAGGGGTCTGAATACTTTCCGAACGCACTGTATAAAACACTGTGCTTGCCAACTTGGTTAGCTATGTTACCGTTTTCAACACATCAACTGTTTTAAAAGTATTTTATTTAACCAAGCCATAGGAAAAAAACGTTTAAATCAGTACAGAGTGAATGAACAAAACACTGTGCAATGAAAGCTTCCTGTCAACATCAGACGTTCCATTTAAATGGTATCAAGATAATGCATTCATGACAGGGTTTGTAGCGTAGCGGTTAACGTCACTGCCCTGGGATCTAAAGGTCCTGAGTTCGCCTCTTGGAGGAGAGATTTTGACCCTTCTCTTTTGTGTATAGTTTTGACACCCCCTCCTCCCAGTCCCAACACACACACAGACCTGGGCGCAAACTCAAGCACAGTGTGTGCTTATTTTCAATTATTAGATGGCTCTAATCGACCTGGAGTCGATTGACGTACATTGTAGAATAATAGTGAAGACATCAAAACTATAAAATAACACATATGGAATCATGTAGTAACCCAAAAAGTGTTAAACAAATCAAAATATATTTTACATTTGAGATTCTTCAAAGTAGCCACCCTTTGCCTTGACAGCTTTGAACACTCTTGGCATTCTCTCAACCAGCTTCATGAGGTAGTCACCTGGAATTCATTTATATTAACAGTTGTGCCTTTTTAAAAGTTAATTTGTGGAATTTCTTTCCTTCTTAATGTTTTTGAGCCAATCAGTTGTGTTGTGACAAGGTAGGGGTGGTATACAGAAGATTGCCCTATTTGGTAAAAGACCAAGTCCATATTATGGCAAGAACAGGTCAAATAAGCAAAGAGAAACGACAGTCCATCATTACTTTAAGATAAAAGGTCAGTCAATCCGGAAAATGTCAAGAACTTTGAAAGTTTCTTCAAGTGCAGTCGCAAAAACCATCAAGCGCTATGATGAAACTGGCTCTCATGAGGAACGCCACAGGAAAGGAAGACCCAGTTACCTCTGCTGCAGAGGATAAGTTCATTAGAGTTAACTGCACCTCAGATTGCAGCCCAAATAAATGCTTCACAGAGATCAAGTAACATCAACTGTTCAGAGGAGACTGTGTGAATCAGGCCTTCATGGTGGAATTGCTGCAAAGAAACCACTACTAAAAGACATCAATAATAAGAAGAGACTTGCTTGGGCCAAGAAACACGAGCAATGGACATTAGACCGGTGGAAATCTGTCCTTTGGTCTGGAGTCCAAATTGATTTTTGCTTCCAACCGCCGTGTCTTTGTGAGACACAGAGTAAGTGAACGGATGATGTCCGCATGTGTGGTTCCCACCGTGAAACATGGAGGAGGAGCTGTGATGGTGTGGGGGTGCTTTGCTGGTGACACTGTCAGTGATTTATTTAGAATTCAAGGCACACTTAACCAGCATGGCTATCACAACATTCTTTAGCAATACGCCATCCCATCTGGTTTGCGCTTAGTGGGACTATCATTTATTTTTCAACAGGACAATGACCCAACACACCTCCAGGCTGTGTAAGGGCTATTTGACCAAGGAGGAGAGTGATGGAGTGCTGCATCAGATGACCTGGCCTCCACAATTACCCGACCTCAACCCAATTGAGATGGTTTGGGATGAGTTGGACCGCAGAGTGAAGGAAAAGCAGCCAACAAGTGCTCAGCATATGTGGGAACTCCTTCAAGACTGTTGGAAAAGCATTCCAGGTGAAGCTGGTTGAGAGAATGCCAAGAGTGTGCAAAGCTGTCATCAAGGCAAAGGGTGGCTACTTTGAAGAATCTGAAATATAAAATATATTTGTTTAACACTTTTTTGGTTACTACATGATTCCATATGTGTTATTTCATTGTTTTGATGTCTTCACTATTATTCTACAATGTAGAAAATAGTAAAAATAAAGAAAAACTCTTGAATGAGTAGGTGTGTCCAAACTTTTGACTGGTACTGTATATCTGGGCTAATAACTTGCAAATTTGTGTACACGCGACTATGCACTTTGTTCTGATAAGCGCACCCACTCGCGATAGTGGAAAAATAACGCTCGTAGGCTACCTGACAGAATTATCCTCTGATGCGCTCTACCTACAACATAATTACTGAATCAATCTTGCAAAGTTAGATTTGTTTTGTTTGTTGCATTCAAAGATATGTTGATTCGATCACAAGTCCCATAGAGGGAAACATTGATATAAATATAGTGTAAACTAACGGAGTAATCTCGTGCATCTCTGTGTGGGCTGGTATTTCTTCTGCGCGACAGTCCTGGGGGAGCTGGGTAGCCACAAACAAGCGCATCTTAGAAGGAACTTTATGTAATCTAATGACTATTCACTGCTGTACATCGATACATTCTCATCTGTAGTGTACTTACATGGGAGGGAAAATTGCAAAGTTGTTGGGGTGAGCTACTGACGGGGAGGGTGCCTGGTCCATGTAGGTGGGGTTCCCACTGGACGGCTCAGGGTTGGGAGTAGTGAATCTACAGGGAGGACAGGAAGCATAATCACATTAAAGCTACAGCCTGGGATTTAGGAAGTTGTTTAATGGTTGTTAAAATGTTGGGTATTTACCCATTGATTATTGAAGAATATAACTTAGAAATGCTTCATGAGCGTGGTCTTTATTATAAACCCAAAGTAATTTTTACACAATTGCCAAATTAGAAATCGCCATTGGATAGGGTAGAGGCTTGCGCCAGATTTGGAATTGGGTATTATCAGTTCAGTGTGTGGGTTTAGAAATAGTAAGAGATTGTTATATGCATGACAGTATACGTACTCTGGCACAACCTGCTTGATCTGCGGTTTGACGTAGCCATCCACTGCTTTTGCTGAGAGATAATGAGAACAGAGCCAAGTTTGAGATTAACAACTTATTTAAGAAACAAAAATAAAGTTAAGGTGAAGGATGAGGGTACGTACAGAGAGGAGGGGTGTAGTACTTGGAGAAGACCTCGTCCTTGGGCCGGTCAGGATAGAGGAACATGAGGTGGTTGAGGTCACTGATGCGGTCGGCTAGTGAGCGGATGGAAAAGTCTTTGGTTGTGTACGGCATGAGGTTCCACACCAGCCTCTCCCCTTGAGAACAATATCAGAGAAAAATAAAATGTCAACCTCTATTTAGCCAGATTAGGCTCATTGACATCAATCATTTTTTGAGGGAGAGACCTGGACTACAGCAAGAGAACATCTTAAAAGTCCATTATGTAGCTTTGTGTACAACCCGACATATTACAGATAAAAATGTGAGTTATAGATCTGCCATTGTCATTGAAAGCAAGTGTAAAAAACAGTAGATATATTCTATGTGATATTTCTATGCTTCCACTCCTTAAATGTCATGTTTGGTTCCTCAAGAGCTTTTGAAGGTGATTTAGTGGTCTCCGGAACTGAATAGGTCGGGAACCGCAGCTCTGTACTACAAATTGCTTATTTTGTTTAAAAAAACGAAGAATCCGTTGAACATTTTAGAAACCAGGAAATGGTGGAGCTATTTCCACATATTGCGGCAACAGTTTCACAGATAATTTTTTTTACATCAAGTTACACATTAACATCATATCTATCTGCATTATGTTAGCCGTTTGTCAACCAAATGAATATCGGCAACAATGTTTTTCCTGGCTCAATTACCTACACTCGATCACGATGTGGACAACCATGCATGGGCTCATGTTTTGGTCCGAAAACACTCTGCCTACTCCTAGGTGGGTAGTATAGTACAGTACCTGCTTTGTTGGGGTTCTCTGCCACCCAGGCGATGGTGATGCCCCCGATCTCAGAGTCACTGAAGCGGAGCAGGAAGGTCCCGTTGGGCTTGGACATCAGCATGTCCTGGGCCTGCTGTTTGTTCACAAAGCCCATGATCGCCCTGCATATCACATACACGCAGTATGTAAACATACACGCATAAGTGTACGCAGTACATGCACACACACACACAGTATGAAAGTTAACGTGCACGCACACACACACACACACAAACGGGTGTGTAAACACACACACACACAATATGTAAAAAACAACAGGCACACACACACGTTGCGCTATTTCATTCCACAATTCTTAAGATGTGTTTCACAATAAGACTATGGTCAAAAGGCTGCTCATCCAACCCCTTCCTTTCATCAACACCAACAATACAGTCTAATAATCGGGTTAATGGAAAGGCTGAGGCTGCGCGAGCGAGCGAATCGAACCGCCCCACAGATGTTACAATGTGTATGGGCTGTAAATCCGATTGCTGTTTATTATAGACAGCTTACAACAGAGAAAGGCAGTTTATAGTTACAGTTTGTCAAAGTTTGTACACCAGACAAAGACGGCCGATCATGTGTGGGGTGAGTGAGAACAGGAAGGAGGGGAAAGCGACAGAGCGAATAGCAGGTACGTACAGTGAGGGAAAAAAGTATTTGATCCCCTGCTGATTTTGTACGTTTGCCCACTGACAAAGACATGATCAGTCTATAATTTTAATGGTAGGTTTATTTGAACAGTGAGAGACAGAATAACAACAACAAAAATCCAGAAAACGCATGTCAAAAATGTTATAAATTGATTTGCATTTTAATGAGGGAAATAAGTATTTGACCCTTATGCAAAACATTACTTAGTACTTGGTGGCAAAACCCTTGTTGGCAATCACAGAGGTCAGACGTTTCTTGTAGTTGGCCACCAGGTTTGCACACATCTCAGGAGGGATTTTGTCCCACTCCTCTTTGCAGATCTTCTCCAAGTCATTAAGGTTTCGAGGCTGACGTTTGGCAACTCGAACCTTCAGCTCCCTCCACAGATTTTCTATGGGATTAAGGTCTGGAGACTGGCTAGGCCACTCCAGGACCTTAATGTGCTTCTTCTTGAGCCACTCCTTTGTTGCCTTGGCCGTGTGTTTTGGGTCATTGTCATGCTGGAATACCCATCCACGACCCATTTTAACTGCCCTGGCTGAGGGAAGGAGGTTCTCACCCAAGATTTGACAGTACATGGCCCTGTCCATCGCCCCTTTGATGCGGTGAAGTTGTCCTGTCCCCTTAGCAGAAAAACACTTCACGGCGTAGTGTGTTACCAATTGTTTTCTTGGTGACTATGGTCCCAGCTGCCTTGAGATCATTGACAAGATCCTCCCGTGTAGTTCTGGGCTGATTCCACACCGTTCTCATGATCATTGCAACTCCACGAGGTGAGATCTTGCATGGAGCCCCAGGCCGAGGGAGATTGACAGGTCTTTTGTGTTTCTTCCATTTGCGAATAATCGCACCAACTTTTGTCACCTTCTCACCAAGCTGCTTGGCGATGGTCTTGTAGCCCATTCCAGCCTTGTGTAGGTCTACAATCTTGTCCCTGACATCCTTGGAGAGCTCTTTGGTCTTGGCCATGGTGGAGAGTTTGGAATCTGATTGATTGATTGCTTCTGTGGACAGGTGTCTTTTATACAGGTAACAAGCTGAGATTAGGAGCACTCCCTTTAAGAGTGTGCTCCTAATCTCAGCTCGTTACCTGTATAAAAGACACCTGGGAGCCAGAAATCTTTCTGATTGAGAGGGGGTCAAATACTTATTTCCCTCATTCAAATGCAAATCAATTTATAACATTTGTGACATGCGTTTTTCTGGATTTTTTTGTTGTTATTCTGTTTCTCACTGTTCAAATAAACCTACCATTAAAATTATAGACTGATCATTTCTTTGTCAGTGGGCAAACGTACAAAATCAGCAGGGGATCAAATACTTTTTTCCCCTCACTGTACATTTTCTTGTGTGTAAAGTAGAAAATCCCGCACAAGTGTAAAAGGTACGGTTGTTAAACTATAGGGAAGAGGCGTCCAGAGAATTCGGCCACACAGCCACTCTAATGGAAATGCTCTGAATTGAAGCACTCCTCTCACCCGTCATTCCAGTGGGGCTTCAGGTGTTTCTTCATGAGCTCCATGACTCCATCAAACCACTGCCAGAAGGTGAAGTTCCTCCCAGGCAAGCTCTCCTGTGGATAGAATAGATAATTAAACCTGGTTCACAATACCATTGGGTTTTCTTATAATACAAATACTATTTTACATTTACATTTTAGTCATTTAGCAGACGCTCTTATCCAGAGCGACTTACAGTTAGTGAGTGCATACATTTTGACACAGGTATTGCTGTTAGTCTTAAAGATGGAATCCGCAGTATGGGGAAACAGCGCCACAGGCCGCCCCACCACCACTGTTATTGTTTATGATGCCGTGTTGAGGAGCGTTGTTGAGAATGGTTAAAAAAAAGACAATACATACTGCTCTTATATCGTGTGTGCAATGATGTCAGAGGGGAAAAAACTGTGTTCGTTGTTTGCAGTAAATCATTTTTGTTGTAATATCGCAAACTGGCGTGGCTGTTTCATCATCATGGATTACAGCTTTAAGTCTGTGGCAACATCCCTATTCCAGTGGTTTAATGGTCATGTTGCGGTAGTAGTCAGTGGTGAAACGGTTGAACTTGTTTGAACTGGGGCCAGGACATGGTCAGGTTGTGGAGGTAGTCAGTAAAAAGTAGTCGTTAGTAATAGACAGTGCACTGGTAAAACAATATAAAAGTCAAACCAAACAGTTGTACCCGGTTGAACTGGGCCCAGGACATGGTCATGTTGCGGTAGTCGTCTGGGTTTATGCTGCCGCTGCTGAAGGCCTTCTGGGCCAGGAAGACCAGGTTGTCGTCGGAGAGGCCGCGGGCACTGTGCATCTCTGCCTTGTATTTCATGTCCAGGGCCTCACACAGCTGGGGCCACAGCACCTTGTCAGGCACTATGAATGGCACCCTGCCCTGGGGGATTGGGGATGGAGGAGGAAGAGAGAGAAAGGGAACAGAGAATAAACAAGGGAGACGAAAGCAGTGTGTGTGTATGAGAGGGAGAGAAGCGGGAGAAGGAGAGAGAGTTGGAACAGCAAGGGGGGAAAGCAAAGGGGTGAAATCAGGGAAAGCGAGAAAAAGGGATAAGAATGACGTATACACAGGAGTTGTTCTGAGCCTTTCCAACTCTTACGTAAACTACAGTGGCAGATAAGAGATGTGCAAAAGAGGCGTATGCAAAGTGTCTTCCGGTAAAGGCCAATAAACTCACCGGCTCTGCAAAAGCATTGTCCCACAGGACCGTTGCCGTGGCGTTGTTGTCTTGACTACCGTGAACTATCACAACCACAGGGAGAGATAATGTCTGGAGACAGAAGCAAGAATAAAACAGTTTGACTGACTGCATTAATTGATTAATTAGACTAATTTAGGTCATCATACTCAAAGTTCACTACAGAATGAAAGACATCAAATCTGATCAAAATGATCCCGTGTTCTCTCAATCCTGTTGCCCCATTAAATTGTGTTCCCCCTTCATTTAAGGACACAAAGACAATATTTCTACCAAATGTCATGGTATCATATAACATGATCTTTGTAATAGCATTATGATGAGGTATGTTAGAGATTTGCTTCCATTTTTGTCTTAAAACTGCATCCAAAACATTAGAAGGGACCACAGACTACACAGAATTGAACACAACACAGGATCATTTTGATCTGGATGAAATGTTTTGACAAACTGGGCCATGGTGTTTCTAGAAGTGGATTTTCCTGTTACCTTGACATGGAACACCAGCTCGTTGCCCCCCACGCTGAACTGGGACTCAAACATGACTGTGAACTTCTCCTCTGTGACTGACTCAGCCCCGCGACGGTCCGACCGTTTGATCCGCTTCAGGGACTACAGGAGAGACCACAACAACCTCTGCTTATCGACCACAACCACACAAATGCTACAACATTTTGACCACATGTACATATCACAATTTGGCAAAATCACCAATGGTTTTGGAGTAAAATGCCCCTTAAATCCAATTACAATACATCAGTAATGTAATTGTATTTATTAGTATAAATCATTCTAACCTAGCGGTTAGAGTGTTGGGCCAGTAACGAATCCCCGAGCTGACAAGGTGAAAAATCTGTCAATGCACTTAAACCTAATTGCTCCAGGGTCGCCGTTGATAATGGCAGACCCTGGCCGTGACCCCACTCTCCGAGGGTGTCTCAGGGGGAGTTGGGATATGCAAAAAACACATTTCCTATTCACACATGCATATCAACCCTTTACACTCGTACCCATATATAGCTGCGGAAAAAATTAAGAGACCACTGCAAAATTATCAGTTTCTCTGGTTTTACTATTTATAGGTATGTGTTTGGGTAAAAATAACATTTTTGTTTTATTCTATAAACTACTAACAACATTTCTCCCAAATAAAAATATTGTCATTTAGAGCATTTATTTGCAGAAAATGACAACTGGTCAAAATAACAAAAAAAGTGTTGTCAGACCTCGAATAATGCAAAGAAAATAACTTAATGTTCATTTTAAAACAACACAATAGTAATGTTTTAACTTAGGAAGAGTTCAGATATCAATATTTGGTGGAATAACCCTGATTTTCAATCACAGCTTTCATGAGTCTTGGCATGCTCTCCATCAGTCTTTCACATTGATGTCAGGTGACTTTATGCCACTCATGGCGCAAAAATTCAAGCAGCTCAGCTTTGTTTGATGGCTTGTGACCATCCATCTTCCTCTTGATCACATTTCAGAAGTTTTCAATGGGGTTCAGGTCTGGAGATTGGGCTGGCCATGACAGGGTCTTGATCTGGTGGTCCTCCATCCACACCTTGATTGACCTGGCTGTGTAGCATGGCGCATTGTCCTGCTGGAAAAACCAATCCTCAGAGTTGGGGAACAATGTCAGGACAACCTTGTACGTGGCTTGATTCATGCGTCATTCACAAAGACAAATCTGCCGATTCCAGCCTTGCTGAAGCACCCCCAGATCACCAATCCTCCACCAAATTTCACAGTGGGTGCGAGACACTGTGGCTTGTAGGCCTCTCCAGGTCTCCGTCTAACCATTAGACGATCAGGTGTTGGGCAAAGCTGAAAATTGGACTAATCAGAGAAGACCTTACTCCAGTCCTCTACGGTCCAATCCTTATGGTCTTTTGCAAACCTCAGCCTGGCTCTTCTTTGCTTCTCATTGATGAAGGGCTTTTTTCTAGCTTTGCACGACTCCAGCCCTGCCCCTAGGAGCCTGTTTCGAACCGTCCTCGCCGTGCACTTCACCCCAGCTGCCGTTTGCCATTATTTTTGTAGGTCACTTGATGTCATCCTACGGTTGTTGAGTGACATTCGAATGAGTTGGCGGTCATCCCGGTCAGTAGAGAGTCGTTTTCGCCCTCTGCCGGTCTGTAGCTTTGTTGTCCCCAATGTCTGCTGCTTGACCTTGTTCTTATGAACCTGACGCTCACTGTATCCCTCTGCCAGTAAAGCCAGAATTGAACCCTTCTTTTCCTCACTCAAAACTTTCCTTTTCAACTCTTTTGGTATGGTCAATAGTTCTTTTTTGATTAATATTACTTTTGAGGTACTATTAGCACTGTTTTTGCCTTCCAGCTGGTCCTATTGCAAGAGGATAGTGATGACCACAGCAGTGGTTTTTATACTTTTCCTCGTTAAATAAGATTTGGTTCATGTGATCACCTAATCAGTACCTAATTCAGTAGAATGAGGTGTGCCTGTGTTGGAATTCAACAGACACTGGAATGGAATGGCTGTCATACATGTAGAGATGCTGATTAAAGGAAAATATGCAGTGGTCTCTTAATTCTTTCCAGAGCTGTATGTGTTGAAATTGGCAGATTTGGGCACTGATAAGCCCCTAAATTGGAATGCACTGGCTGTACAGTAAAATGCTATAAATGAAGTCAGAGCTTAGGCTCTGCGCTTCACAGCACTGTATGGGTTTTGACTGACAGCCGTTCTGAACATGAGCACCGCTTGCGACAAGAACTTGCCCCCATCCCTCCCGCTAATAGGACAACTTTTGCACATTTGTTGTCTGAGAGATGGAAATGCTGTAAATTAAGAGGACAATGTATTTTGAAAGATGAGACATTGAGGATTATAATAAATCCCACTTTGACGTCATACAAGCAAGCCAAACACCTGTGAGTCCAAATATGTACTTCCCTTTTCAATATCATAAAACATAAACGGTTTCAACGTTTATGATCACCATGTTTGATGTACAGTTACAAGATGACATGGCATCATACCCTGTGTTGTTCTGAACAGAATTAACCTGTTTGTCTATTGTAAAGAAGATTAGCTGCGGAACACGCACCAGAATGCACTCGATTCCTTTCTATCCGCACCAAAATTACGCTCAGTTTCTCTGATTTGCCCTGTGAAAGCCTAACACTAAGATCGTATTTTATAACTTAGCTAGTCATGTTGGCAATAAAACAAGCCTTCAAATGCTGCCCACCTGACCCAGATCGCGATTTATAACGGCCCGTTTTTGGATAGTGTAAACAACAGTAATTGTGTGATGACAGAGATGCAGGGCTGTGTTCCAAACAAAACAACTACAAGTGTGCTTGCTCTTGTTCCTCAACGGCACATAGTGGAGCTCTTCTTTGAGTCATAAAAGTGCATTGAAATTACTTAACTGTGCACAATTTGGAGAGGGGTGTGGCCACTTGGAGAAACCAGTTAGTCCTCTCACTCAAACCCTTGTCATATGTTGCACCTACCCCACATTTTCCAGGAATATTCTTATCATGTTACTGAATGTATCCAGAGTATTTTCAGATTTCGTTATCAACAAATGCGGCAAAAAGTACAGTAAATGTAAAATGAACATAAAATCAACTGTGTAATGTTTGGATTCAGTCTTGTGTCAGGTGAACTGTTGTGTCCTCAACTTTGGAGATTATGGGAGAATTATTAGACCAAACTGTTCCCTTTCAATTGCTACCAAGCTTATGCATATGCTATTCATATTTCTTCTGTAAGAAAGATTTCAATTGAGCCCTATGCATATAGGCCAATTCCTACAAGTGTAAAGGGTTAATACATCTGTACATGTATGACATAGGACAAATAAGCACCAACACATCTTTTTTTCTACTCACCATGTTCCTGAAGTGGGCACTGAGGGTTCCTGTGGTCCGGTGGTATTCCATCACACAGTTGTTGTTGAGAATTTCTCCACTGCTGTCACTGCAACACAGACAGATAAATAATCCTTGAAACTTGTTTGGTTGCGGGCGACAGTAGACGTTTCAAATTTTGTGTGTGTGTTTGTGTACACGCGTGCATTTGTGTAAGTACAAATGTGTATATTTTTGGTCAACTTTTGGTTGTGGGTGATAGTAGTGGCCCTAGAATTGTATTGAGTAGAAGTTTCACATTATTTTCTGTGTGTGTGTGTGTGTGTGTGTGTATGCGTGTGTGTAGGGCCGTAACCAACTATGAGGGCACCGTGGAACGGACATCTAATTTGTTCCTAAAAAAAACATTTTTTGTTGTTGAACTCAGTCTGGGTTTGAACTTACTGTTGAGAGTTTGAATACTAGAATACACAAGGTGTAATTTCGAAACTTGGTTGTGCTTCAGCAGTTTTCCTCGTTATATATCAAATCTTATGTGTCACATTCGTAAACAACAGGTGTAGACTAACATGCTGTCCACACCGCCCGCATGCGCTGCAAAATAAATGTACACATACATGTTATTCAATCATTGCACCCACACTGCTTGCGCGTCTGCATTGCCCGGTGCTAAAATAGAATTTGTTTTTTGTGACGCTTGACGCACTGCAAGTCCCGCCTCTCCCATCTCCTCATTGGTTTTTAGGAGCATATTCCCACGTGGGTGATTGAAAGATGAACTGAGGTCCACACTCCAGTCCAGTTGGTGGTGGTAATGCACCTTAAAGTTGGTTGCCAACCGCCATATAAAGTCCAAAGAAGAAGAAGAAGCCGCCTGAAGGAGAGATTACTAGAAACAAACTCGGTTTACCCTTTTATCTGTGTATTAATTGTTGGAGTAGAGGACCTTATGCATTTCAGGTAAAATAACACCCCAATGTTTATATCCTAGGACAAATTAGCTAGCAACAGCAAGCTAGCTAGCTAAATTGCCATAAATGTTTAATGCTTTTCGACCCGTCCCCAAATTAATATAGTTGGTTCAGAGTTCTTCTTGATATTTCAACCTGCGTGTCCTGATCGCGTCTGTTGTGGGTGGACAAAAATCAAGATGCGAGCGAGCAGTGTGGTCAGCATGTAACAGTGAAATGCTTCCTGACAATGCAGAAAAAGTATAACTAGGCTATATACACACGGGGTACGAGTACCAAGTCGATGTGCAGGGGTACGAGGTAATTGAGGTAGATATAACTAGGAATATGGGGCGGCAGGTAGCTTAGTGGTTAAGAGCGTTGTGCCAGTAACCGAAAGGTCGCTGGTTCTAATCCCCGAGCCGACTAGGTGAAAAATCTGTCGATGTGCCCTTGAGCAAGGCACTTAACCCTAATTGCTCCTGTAAGTCGCTCTGGATAAGAGCGTCTGCTAAATGACTAAAATGTAAATGTAAAATGAATACAGTGACTAGGCAACAGGATAGAAAATAAACAGAAGTAGCAGCATATGTGAGGAGTCAAAAAAGTAAGAGCCAAAATGGTCAATGCAGATAGTTAAATAGTTAAGTAAATAGCTACCCGGACTAACTATTTAGTAGTTTTAGGGCTTGGGGATAGAAACTGTTCAGGGTCCTGTTGGTTCCAGACTTGCCGTGCGGTAGCAGAGAGAACAGTCTATGACTTGGGTGGCTGGAGTCTGACCATTTTTAGGGCCTTTCGCCTGATATACCCTCTGTAGCGCCTTGCGGTCAGATGCCAAGTAGTTGCCATACCAAGCGGTGATTAAGCCAGTCAAGATGCTCTCAATGGTGCAGCTGTAGAACTTTGAGGATCTGAGGGCCCATGCCAAATCTTTTCAGCCTCCTAAGGGGTAAGAGGCGTTGTCGTGCCCTCTTCACGACTGTGTTGGTGTGTGTGGACAATGATAGATCCTTAGTGATGTGGACACCGAGGAACATGAAGCTCTCGACCCGCGCCACTACAGCCCCATCGATGTGAATGGGGGTGAGCTCGGCCCTCCGTTTCCTGTAGTCCACGATCAGCTCCTTTGACTTGCTGATAAGGGAGAGGTAGTTATCCTGGCACCCCTGGTGCAGGAGGGGATTAAGCATGCACCCCTGAGGCGCCTCCGTGTTGAGGGTCAGCGTGGCGGATGTGTTGTTGCCTACCCTCACCACCTGGGGGCAGCCTGTCAGGAAGTCAAGGATCCAGTTGCAGAGGGAGGTGTTCAGTCCCAGGGTCCTTAGCTTAGTGATGAGCTTGGAGGGCAGTAAGGTGTTGAACACTAAGTTGTAGTCAATTAACAGTATTCTCACATTGGTGTTCCTCTTGTCAAGGTGGGAGAGGGCAGTGTGAAGTGCAAGAGAGATTGCGTCATCTGTGGATCTGTTGGGGCGGTATGCGAATTGGAGTGGGTCCAGGGTGTCTGGGATAATGGCATTGATGTGAGCCATGAACCAGCCTTTCAAAGCATTTCATGGCTACATGTGCTACGGGGCAATAGTCATGTAGACAGGTTACCTTGGCGTTCTTGGGCATAGGGACTATGGTGGTCTGCTTGAAACATGTAGGTATTACAGACTGGGTCAGGGAAAGGTTGAAAATGTCAGTGAAGACACTTGCCAGCTGGCCAGCGCATGTTCAGAGTACGCGTCCTGGTAATCCGCCTAGCCCTGCGACCTTGTAAATGTTAACCTATTTAAAGGTCTTACTCACATCAGCTACGGAGACAGTGATCACACAGTCATCTGGAACAGCTGGTGCTCTCATGCATGGTTGGGTGTTGCTTGCCTCGAAACGAGGCATTTAGCTCGTCTGGTAGGCTCGCGTCACTGGACAGCTCGGGCTGCGTTTCCCTTCGTAGTTTGCAAGCCCTGCTATATCTGACGAGCGTCAGAGCCAGCGTAGTAGGATTTGATCTTAGTCCTGTTGTGATGCTTTGCCTGTTTGATGGCTCAGAGGTCGAATCAGGATTTCATACAAGCGTCCGGATTAGTGTCCCGCTCCTTGAAAGCAGTAACTCTAGCCTTTAGCTCAGTGGGTCTGTTGCCTGTAATCCCTGGCTTCTGGTTGGGATATGTGCGTAAGGTCACTGTGGTGACAACGTCATCAATGCACTTACTTAATGATGCCGGTGCCTGATGTGGTAAACTCCTCAATTCCATCGGATGAATCCCAGAACATATTCCAGTCCGTGCTAGCGAAACAGTCCTGTAGCTTAGCATCTGCCTCATCGGACCACTTCCGTATTGAGTGTGTCACTGGTACTTCCTGTTTGAGTTTTTGCTTGTAAGCAGGAATCAGGAGGATAGAGTTATGGTCAGATTTCCCAAATGGAAGGCGAGGGAGAACTTTGTATGCGATTGTGTGTGTGGGGTAATAATAATACATTTTACATAGCGCTTTTCATTACAAAGAGAAACTCAAAGACGCTGTAAAAACAAACAAAACAAATGTAGAGATCTGGCAGGTCTTGTGCCATGGTCTTCCACAGCTTCAGATGATAACGTGTTGTTCAGCAAGGCAATTCAGAAAGGCTGGGCAGTAGCTTAAGCAGAAGGAGCATCAATGGCACAGAAAGGGAGCAGCATCAATTAGTTATTAGACAGGGTCGTAGCTCTTCATCTGGCACCTTGTTTGTTGACTCCTCCTCCTCTTCTGTAGGTAGGCTGGATAGGGTGCTACCCTTCAGTAGTGGACATCTTGGTGATGCTTCGGTAGCTATAAGCGCCAGAAAGACCCCCACACTTCGGCAGTAGTCAGGAAACTACAGTAGAGGGCATCTCTCAACCTCTCACACCGCAGTCCACATTGTTCATCCAACCAGGGCAGGTGGGGAACAAAAGTGCTGTATTGATGAATCATTAAAATGATCGCATAGCCAGCTAGCTAACTACCTAGACAAGCCAAACAGACTGACTTGCCATTAGTCCAGCAGCTCCACATAATGAGTAAAGGTGATATTTACTTTTGTATCCTCTAGTTGCACAGGTGACATGCTGGAAGAAATTAGGTTTGACGGATTTCAGTTTCCCTTCATTAAAATCACCTGCCACTAGGTGTGGCGCATCTGGATGAGCATTTTCCTGTTTGCTTCAGGCCCTATACAGCTTGTTGAGTGTGGTCTTAGTGCCAGCATCGGTTTGTGGTGGTACATAGACAGCTACGTAAGATATAGATGAAAACTCTTGGTCTCTATGGTCTACAGCTTATCATGAGGTTTTTCTAACTCGAGACTTCCTTAATATTAGAGATGGTGCACCAGCTGTATTTGTTGGACAATTAAAAATGGTCAATACACTGCATTTCAAACATTCAGGAATAATTCATTAATTCAGGACTTGTAAAATTATACCTAGAGTAAATATAATCCTTTAACCATAAGACCCACTAATAAGTTAATAATTTAATCAAAATAGTTTAACCTAATTTTTTTGCAATAATCACTGATCTGGCTTCTAAGTCTGTCTATGAAAATGCCCTTTTTGCAAAAAAATGTACCAGAACCATCCATGCACAATGCACATCCACTAATAATGTCCAACTTCTGGTAGCATTATAGAAAGTTATCACAGGTCTCAAATAATCTCTCAAGCACAAGCCCAGTGAAGTGAGTAGCCAGCTAATCTTTATATTTAATGTGTAGCCAACTTGGATCTATTTGCTTGCTAACAATGTAGAATAGTTGAACTGTTATGAATACACCCTCCTGTCCGTCTCCAACTGTTTGAACAGCTAGCACATAAGTCTGTGGCAAAAATTCTGCTAGCGGTACCGCAATACTGCATGCGACAGAAACTGAGCATAAATTGTCCACAATCAGGTTAATTGATAAACCCGTCTTAGTAGGGTCTGCTCTGATCTAAATTTTGGGAGTTGAGACGTAAAAAGGGTATCATTACAAAGGTTAAGTTCTCCTCTATTACAGTAAAATACACTGAGTGTACAAAACATTAGGAACACATTCCTAATATTGATTTGCACCCCCTTTGCCCTCAGAACAGCCTCAATTCGTCGGGGCATGTCCTCAACAAGGTGTCAAAAGTGTTCCAAAGGAATGCTGGCCCATGTTGACTCCAATGCTTCTCACAGTTGTGTCAAGTTGGATGGACGTCCTTTGGGTGGTGGACCATTCTTGATACACACGGGAAACTGTTGAGTGTGAAAAACCCAGCAGCGTTGCAGTTCTTAACACACTCAAACCAGTGTGCCTGGCACCTACTACTATACCCAGTTCAAAGGCACTTAAATATTTTGTCTTGCCTATTCACCCTCTGAATGGCACATACACAATCCATGTCTCAAAGCTTAAAAATCATTCTTTAACCGGTCTACACTGATTTAAGTGGATTTTAACGTGTGCGATTATGTGTGCGATTATAATCCAACCTCCTGTGATCCAAATTGAGGTTAGTGGTCGCTGTTCTGATGTCCAGAAGCTCTTTCCGGTGATAGTAAACGATGGCGGAAACATTATGTACAAAAAAAGTTACGATCAGTGCAAAAACATCAATAACAGAATTGGTCAGGAAACCGTAAAACAGCAGCTATCCATTGCAGCTCCAGTATAAACAAATCACTGACAGTCACCCAATTAGCCCATGTCAGTAAAAATAAATAAAATTGATTGGTAAATTAGTCTAGGTCGTCTTGCTAGCCAGCTATCTACACTTGTAGTAATCATGGATGAATTACAGACCGGGCATGATTTTGTTAGTCACTCTCACTCAGATATATTAACATGGCATAAGTCATGGCAAAATGTGTAAAATTGCAGGAAATAAGCTTTAAAACTGCAAACATTTCTACCCACCCCTATATCAAAATACCCCCTATCCGGACCTCACCAAAACTCACACCCTGACTACGGCCCTGTGTGTGTGTCAGAGGGTGTGTGTGGTGTCTCACTTGCGGGTGCTCTCATTCTTGAGCAGGGCCTTGGCCTGCTGCTCGCTGACGATGACTGCCTTGACCTGCGGGGGGTTCATGTGCACGTTGAGCTTCCCGCCCACCAGTAGGCGCACAGTAGCCGCAAACTTAGTCTGGGTCTTCAGCACCTGGGGCGGCTGCTTCTCGATTATAAACGTACTGATAGGGGAGGGAGGGATTGAGGGAGGAGGGGACGAGGGAGGGAGGGCGGGGGAGAGGTTAATGGGTGGAGGGATGGATGTAGCAAGGGAGGAAAGAAGGAAAGATGGTTGGGTAGAAAAAAAGAGAGAGAAAGTGGGTAAATACTGTATTTAAATGATTAGAGGCTGCATACATAGAAGAGAAAAGGACATTATCTACAGATTGTAGCGGTGTAACGGTACACGTATTCGTATCAAAGCAATTGGTATGGGGACCTCAGTTTGTTCCGCACTGTGAACCTGAATGAATACATAAATAATATATACACACATACAGTGCCTTCGGAAAGTATTCAGACCCCTTGACGTTTTCCACATTGTTATGTTACTGCCTTATTCTAAAATTGATTACAGAAATAAAAATCCTCAATCTACACACAATACCCCATCATGACAAAGCGGAAAACAACTTTTTAGAAATTTTAGCAAATATATTAAAAATTAACTGAAATACCTTATTTACATAAGTATTCGTACCCTTTGCTATGAGACTCGAAATTGAGCTCAGGTACATCCTGTTTCCATTGATCATCCTTGAGATGTTTCTACAACTTGATTGGAGTCCACCTGTGGTAAATTTAATTGACTGGACATGATTTGGAAAAGCACACCTGTATACACAAAGGTCCAACAGTTGACAGTGCATGTAAGAGCAAAAACCAAGCCAAGAGGTCGAAGGAATTGTCCGTAGCGCTCCGAGACCGGATTGTGTCGAGGCACAGATCTGGGGAAGGGTACCAAAAAAATTATGCAGCATTGAAGGTCCCCCAAAACACAGTGTCCTCCATCATTCTTAAATGGAAGAAGTTTGGAACCACCAAGGCTCTTCCTAGAGCTGGCCGCAAAGTCAAACTGAGCAATCGGGCGAGAAGGGCCTTGGTCAGGGAGATGACCAAGAACCTGATGGTCACTCTGACAGAGCTCCAGAGTTCCTCCGTTGAGATGGGAGAAACTTCCAGAAGGACAACCATCTCTGCAGCACTCCACCAAATCAGGCCTTTATGGTAGAGTTGCCAGACGGAAGCCACTACTCAGTAAAAGTCACATGACAGCACACACAGAGTTTGCCAAAAGGCACCTAAAGACTCTCAGACCATGAGAAACAAGATGCTCTGGTCTTATGAAATCCAGATTGAACTCTTTGGCCTAATTGCCAAGCATCACGTCTGGAGGAAACCTGGCACCATCCCTACAGTGAAGCATTTGTGGCGGCGTTTTTCAGCAGCAGGGACTGGGAGACTAGTCAGGATCGAGGGAAAGATGAATGGAGCAAAGTACAGTAAGATCCTTGATGAAAACCTGCTCCAGAGCGCTCAGGACCACAGACTGGGGCAAAAGGTTCACCTTCCAACAGGACAACGACCCTAAGAACACAGCCAAGACAATGCAGGCTTTGGGACAAGTCACTGAATGTCCTTGAGTGGCCCAGCCAGAGCCCGGACTTGAACCCGATCGAACATCTCTGGAGAGACCAGAAAATAGCTGTGCAGCAACCTGACAGAGCTTGAGAGGATCTGCAGAGAAGAATGGGAGAAACTCCCCAAATACATGTGCGCCAAGCTTATAGCGTCATACCCAAAAAGACTTGAGGCTGTAATCGCAGCCAAAGGTGCTTCAACAAAGTACTGAGTAAAAGGGTCTGAATACGTATGTACATTTGATATTTCAGTTTATTTGTAATACATTTGCAAACATTTCTAAAACCTATTTTTGCTTTGTCATTATGGGGTATTGTGTAAATTGATGAGGGAAAAAAACGATTTAATCCATTTTAGAATAAGGCTGTAACGTAACAAAATTTGGAAAAAGTCAAGGGGTCTGAATACTTTCCGAAGGCTTTGTATGTATGTACAGTCGTGGTCAAAAGTTTTGAGAATGACACAAGTATTGGTCTTCACAAAGTTCGCTGCGTCAGTGTTATGAGATATTGTTGTCAGATGTTACTATGGTATACTGAAGTATAATTACAAGCATTCCATAAGTGTCAAAGGCTTTTATTGACAATTACATTAAGTTTATGCAAAGAGTCAATATTTGCAGTGTTGACCCTTCTTTTTCAAGATCTCTGCAATCCGCCCTGGCATGCTGTCAATTAACTTCTGGGCCACATCCTGACTGATGGCAGCCCATTCTTGCATAATCAATGCTTGGAGTTTGTCAGAATTTGTGGGTTTTTGTTTGTCCACCCGCCTCTTGAGGATCGACCACAAGTTCTCAATGGGATTAAGGTCTGGGGAGTTTCCTGGCCATGGCCCCAAAAGTTCGATGTTCTGTTCCCGGAGCCACTTAGTTATCACTTTTGTCTTATGACAAGGTGCTCCATCATGCTGAAAAGGCATTGGTCGTCTAACTGTTCTTGGATGGTTAGGAGAAGTTGTTCTTAGGCAAAATTGTGAGTGAGCCCACTCCCTTGGCTGAGAAGCAACCCCACACATGAATGGTCTCAGGATGCTTTACTGTTGGCATGACACAGGACTGATGGTAGCGCTCACCTTGTCTTCTCCGGACAAGGTGTTTTCCGGATGCCCCAAACAATCGGAAAGGGGATTCATCAGAGAAAATGACTTAACCCCAGTCCTCCACAGTCCAATCCCTGTACCTTTTGCAGATGCATCTGTCCCTGATGTTTTTCCTGGAGAGAAGTGTTTTTTTTGCTGCCCTTCTTGACACCAGGCCATCCTCCAAAAGTCTTCGCCTCACTGTGCGTGCAGATGCACTCACACCTGCCTGCTGCCATTCCTGAGCAAGCTCTGCACTGGTGGTGCCCCGATCCCGCAGCTCAATCAACTTTAGGAGACGGTCCTGGCGCTTGCTGGACTTTCTTGGGCGCCCTCTCTCCTTGAAGTTCTTGATGATCCGATAAATGGTTGATTTAGGTGCAATCTTACTAGCAGCAATATCCTTGCCTGTGAAGCCCTTTTTATGCAAAGCAATGATGACAGAACGTGTTTCCTTGCAGGTAACCATGGTTAACAGAGGAAGAACAATGATTTCAAGGACCACCCTCCTTTAAAAGCTTCCAGTCTGCTATTCTAACTCAATCAGCATGACAGAGTGATCTCCAACCTTGTCCTCATCAACACTCTCACCTGTGTTAACGAGAGAATCACTGACGTGATGGCAGCTGGTCCTTTTGTGGCAGGGCTGAAATGCAGTGGAAATGTTTTTTGGGGAATAAGTTCATTTTCATGGCAAAGAGGGACTTTGCAAATAATTGCAAATCATCTGATCACTCTTCATGATATTATGGAGTATATGCAAATAGCCATCATCAAAACTGAGGCAGCAGACTTTGTGAAAATTAGTATTTGTGTCATTCTCAAATCTTTTGACCACGACTGTATACAGTACCAGTCAAAAGTTTGGACACCTACTCATTCAAGGGTTTTTCTTTATTTTTACTATTTTCTACATTGTAGAATAATAGTGAAGACATCAAAACTATGAAATAACACATATGGAATCATGTAGTAACCAAAAAAAGTGTTAAAACAAATCAAAATATTCTGGCTATTCTGTTAAAACAACTAGAGCCTACACCCCAGTACTCCTACCGCCATAGCAAGATGGAAAGGCAAAAAAAAGGATTACTTAATTTCCCTTCTGCATTCAAGCAGCCCTTCGCAGCCGATTCTGATCGGACCAAAGAAATTAAAAGAGCGATAGGTATGTTTATAGCTGCGGATATGCGCCCATTCTCTGTGGTTTAGAAGAATAGGGGGTTTCAGCACCTCGTGAAAGCGCTCGAGCCACGTTACGAACTTCGCCCTTTCGCACTGATTTCAGCAAACATGCAGTACCCGCTCTATATAAGCAAGCTAAAGCCGAAGTTGTCAATGAATTGGCCAATGCACCGTGTTATGCTTATTGCAGATGGATGGACCTCCAGGGCTACTTAACAGTGACAGCCCATCACATTACCCCAGAGTGTGAAATGAGAAGTACGTGCTACAGACACACCCCCTTTATGAGTCACACAAGTGCACATATTTTTCTCTTTGTAAGAGAACATTATAGCATAGGCCTATGCAATGTCAGCCATGTTTACATTTTGATTTCACACCCATATTGCACTTTATTTTTGTGTTGTTCATTTAAGAAAATACAAAGTGTTCGTATTCCTGATTGTGCTCTTATCATGCATTATATGACTCATGATCACATACTGAACAAAAATATAAACTCAACATGTAAAGTGTAGGTCCCATGTTTCATGAGCTGAAATAGAAGATTCCAGAAATGTGTTTACATCCCCCTGTTAGTGAGCATTTCTCATTTGCCAAGATAATCCATCCACCTGACAGGTGTGGCTTATCAAGAAGCTAGTTAAACAGCATGATAATTACACAGGTGCACCTTGTGCTGGGGACAAAAAAAGGCCACTCTAAAATGTGCAGTTTTGTCACACATAATGCCGCAATTGGCATGCTGCCTGCAGGAATGTCCGCCAGAGCTGTTGCCAGAGAATGTAATGTTAATTTCTCTACCATAAGCAGCCTTCGTCGTCGTTTTAGAACATTTGGCTGTACGTCCAACCGGCCTCACAACCACGTGTAACCACACCAGCCCAGGACCTCAACATCCGGCTTCTTCACCTGCGGGATTGTCTGAGACCAGCCACCCGAACAGCTGATGAAACTGTGGGTTTGTACAACTGAAGAATTTCTCCACAAACTGTCAGAAACCTTCTCATCTGCGTGCTCGCCGTCCTCACCAGGGTCTTGACCTGACTGCAGTTCGGCATCGTAACCGACTTCAGTGGGCAAATGCTCACCTTCAATAGCCACTGGCACGCTGGAGAAGTGTGCTCTTCATAGATTAATCCCCGTTTCAACTGTACCGGGCAGATGGCAGACAGCATAGCATGTATGGCGTCATGTGGGCGAGCGGTTTGCTGATATCAACGTTGTGAACAGAGTGCCCCATGGTGGCGATGGGGTTATGGTATGGGCATTCATAAGCTACGGACAACGAACACAATTGCATATTATCGATGGCAATTTGAATGACGAGATCCTGAGGCCCATTGTCGTACCATTCATCCGCCGCAATCACCTCATGTTTCAGCATAATGCACGGCCCCATGTCGAAAGGACCTGTACACAATTCCTGGAAGCTGAAAATGTCACAGTTCTTCCATGGCCAACATACTCACCAGACATGTCACCCATTGAGCATGTTTGGGATGCTCTGTACGACAGCGTGTTCCAGTTTCTGCCAATATCCAGCAACTTCGCACAGCCATTGAAGAGGAGTGGGACAACATTCCACAGTCCACAATCAACAGTTTGATCAACTCTATGCGAAGGAGATGTGCGAGGCAAATGGTGGTTACACCAGAAACTGACTGGTTTTCTGATCCACGTCCCTACCTTTAAAAAAAATAAGGTATATGTGACCAACAGATGTATATCTGTATTCCCAGTCATGTGAAATCCATAGATTAGGGTCTAATGAATTTATTTAAATCGACTCATTTCTTTATATGAACTGTAACTAAGTAAAATCTTTGAAATTGTTGCATGTTGCGTTTATATTTTTGTTCAGTGTATATAGAATCAGGACCAACACTTTGTATTTTCTTAAATAAACAAAAATTAACTACAGTAACTGTTGGCATTTAATTTTCCCGTTGTACCGAAACGTGACCCCAAAACCGCAATGCGTACCGAACCGTGGTTTTGGTGAACCGTTACACCCCTAACAGATTGAGATACTCTATGTTCTGACTGGCAAGGCAATTACATTTCCACATCATGGGCTAAACTCAATGTAACGCCATTTCCAAAAGCAGTGCAAAGATGCCATTAGACTGGAATTGGAGGCAAATTATAACAATTACAAGCACACAGAACTATCGGGCTATACTGGCCCGAGCATGCAGTTCTGCAAACTTGTACAGAAGCACATCATGATCAGCACATTAACAAACCTGTACTCTTTGCATTATTGTGGATAACCTGACAAACAAACACACACACACCCCCATCTCCCACTACCTCCCCCACACACACAGCCCTACCTGGTGACGAGGGCGGAGATGATGTCGGTGATGTCAGAGTTGAGCTTGGTGAGCAGCTCCTCCATTGGGCCAGGCAGAGGCAGCTGCTGGGTCAGGTGTTCAGCCCGCCGGATCTGCTGCCGGTTCTGCCAGATCAGGTCCGCCAGCTTCTCACACCTGGAGAGCGAAACAAGAACAAGCACCCAAGAACACACACACACAAGCAGAGATGCACACACACACACCAAAACAGGATCAGAGTGAGGGATGGGGAGAGCTGTTTATGTTTTCATTTGTAAAGGAGAGTGGAGAGAGCGAGCGAGAGAGAGTGAGAGAGAGAGACAAAGTGGCACACCAGCACCAGGAGCGCTAACCCACCCCGCAACCCAAGAGGAGCATCGCCATCATCGACTACAATGGACAGCTAGGAGTGGGTTTGTGTGTGGTGGGACTGACCAGGACTGCAAGACATCCAGTCCCCCCTCAGTGGGCCCCCCGTTGCCAGCCAGCTGCTGTCGTCTCTTCCACTGGATCAGCTCCTCGTCCAGGATCAGCGTCTGCTGCTTCCTCAGCTGGCCCAGAGTCTTCTGGTGCTTCTCCGCCAGGTCCTACACACATACACACACAGAAAATCACAAGCAAACACACAAATGGAGAGATACACATGCAAGCTAGGTTTCCATCCAATTGGCGACAGATTTTCATGTGAATATTCTAGAATCTGCATAAAGAAAATATGTTCATTTTCCCACCAGTGGTGTGTTTCCACCAAACTGATTTGTTGCGAATTTAAAGAAGTCAGTGCGAGATGACAGTGCACACAAAACATACTTTTTCGCTTACATTTTCATGTACCGAATAAAAATCTAAAGTTCAATGTGTTTCCATCGCATTTTCAACTCTACTGATAGTTGGAACAATAACTGTTGCGTTAAATAGAAAATGTGCCTTCTCTGGTCTTGGCACGTGTGCTCTAGCCAACAGCTCGCAAATACAGTGGGTGTAGGCTAGTCTACATGAGACTATTATGGATAAGAGCAAGAATTTGTCAAACAATGATCATCATGTCACCAGAATAAGACCCTTGATATTTATTGGAAAGGAGCATCAAGCTCATAACCACCCTGTGAAGTTCATCAGAACTGATTATTATTATTATTATTATTTTATCATCCTTTGTATTGTACCCCCTTTTTCTCCCCAATTTTGATCTTGTCCCATCGCTGCAACTCCCCAACGGGCTCGGGAGGCGAAGGTCGAGTCATGTGTCCTCCGAAACATGACCCGCCAAACCACGCCCGCTTAACCACGCCAGCCGCACCAATGTGTCGGAGGAAACATTGTTCAACTGACGACCGAGGTCAGCTTGCAGGCGTCCTGGCCCGCCACAAGGAGTCGCTAGAGCGCAATGAGCCAAGTAAAGCCCCCCCGGCCAAACTCTCCCCTAACCCGGACGACGCTGGGCCAATTGTGCCCTATGGGACTCCCGATCACGACCGGTTGTGATACAGCCCGGGATAGAACCCGCGTCTGTAGTGACGCCTCTAGCACTGCGATGCAGTACCTTAGACCACTGACCACTGCGCCACTCGGGAGGCCCCATCAGAACTTCTTTCATCTGTAGCCTAATAAACTGCATGTCTGTTTCTGCAGTGTGTATGTATGTGTATGAGTGTGTGTGTATGTTCAGCATACCAGTCTGTATTTCTGCAGTGTGTTGGCCTCCCTGGTGAGCCAAGCCTCCACGGTGGCTCTCTTGGCCTGCAGGCTGGTCTCCCTCTGGGCTCGCTCTTCCGCCGGCACGGCCGACAGACTGCTCAACTGGGCTACAGAGAGGAGGGGGAGGGTGAAGGAGGGGGAGAAGGAAGAGGAGGGGGGGAAGGAAGGGGAGGTGGAGGGTTGAGGGGGGGGGGGGGTTGGAATGGAGGAAGAAGAGTGGAGGAGTGAAGAAGGGGGTTGAAGGAGGAGGGAGTAAAGGAGAGGGAGAAGTGGAGGTGATGGAGGCATGGGTCAATACATCTAATTTTCCCCATTACATACACCCACCTGCAGAGCTACTATACTGAGTATGCAGGCTTTTGCTCTAACAGGGCTGATCCACCAACATGATTCTGCTAATCAAGGCCCTGAGGCGCGGTCGATTAGTTGAATCTGGGTCGTGTTCATTCATTAGGAACAACATGGAAGAAAACAGTGAAATGGGGACGAACTACCTGAACTTGTCCAACAACAAATGCTTGTTTTGGTTGCGAAGCATTTTGCTACAGTGTGCCCAAGTGGGTTAGTCCCTCTAGGAAAGCATTGAGAAGCGCTGCTGTAATACTGGCAGTCAGCGTCTCACCCTGGATGCGCAGGTTCTCCTGGTACTGAATGATGAAATACTCCTGGTTGTGCTGCAGCTTGCGCAGCTCGTTCTCCGTCTCCTGCGTGGCCACGCGCAGCTCCTCGAACGTCTGGTTGATCTGCTGGTGCCTCTGGGACAGGCTGTCCATGGTCCCGCCACCCCCGCCGCCCCCGATGGCCTGCCAATGGGGAGAGAGGCTGGTGAGCGAGCTGTCCAATTGGATGACAGCGCTCCGGCAGGATGAAGTATAGTTAAGGCCGCCAGGGGCCCGTTCGACAGAGTGCGACATCACAGAACAAAGCATTTTATAAAACTGATATGATTTTCTGTCTTCTAGAATAGTGAGTCATTTCAGCTCTATACACTCTGTGTGTGGGTAAGACTCACATTGGTGGCCTCCTGCACCAGCCTCTGCTCCGTGTGGAGGATATGTTTGATGCAGCGCACCAGCTCAAGAGGACAGCGGTCATACGTGCTCTGAGGAAGGAAAGGATGCATTTGTCATACAAAACACACACACACACACAGAAACAGCTGCAGACACAAAAACAAAATGCACACAAACAAAACACAAGATTTCAAAACTCTTCCGCAGAGGATACGCAGAGGATGCACTTCAGTATCCTTCACTGAAGGAGGTAATTGAGAAGGGGAGAAAACTCCACAGTTCGCCTACTAACGAATTGACACACTTCTCAACCATTTATCGGTTTCCAGAGGAGAGGAGGATGGAGGAGTCAAAGAGAGGACAGACTTTTGTCTAATTGAGAATCTCCCACACACACACACAGGAAGAAACAGCTGCACTGTGACGAAGTGGACACAGCTGCTCTCGTCACGACGCCACCCCAGTAGCATGGGCTGCTGATCCAATACGGAGGCCTGCACTACCAGGGGAGTGAGAACATATTGCATACAACAAGGCTAACTCAATCAGATCAATCAACTGAAAAGGGTTTTGTGGGCTATCATCCGTGTTGGCGCCAGGAGTTTGTAACACTGCCACTTGACCCTTGATGCAGTGACCATTTTGTACCACGTTGTGAAGATAAAGAGTGCTACAGAGAAAACCCTTTGGAATTTTCCTAATCTTCTGCTTCATTTCAAGGTGCCAAAAATTAATTGTGAGCCAATGCCAGATTAGCCACCTCCCGCTGTAACAGTGCTGGGCCGTGTCAATCAGGCACCAAACGGAAGAAAACCCAGACCTGTCCATTTAGAGAATCTTGTTTCCCTATTTCATTGCAAAGTGTTGGTGACTTAATGAACACGAACCAGAGAATAATGGATGTACTAGTGTAGGTGTCTCTCCCATAGAGGTAGAGTGTTATAACAAGAGACAAGGAACAACATGGTCGCCCACGCATTTCTATGGAACCTGCTCAATGGCGTGTCAACCTAAAACAGAGATGTTAGGTTCGCGTCGAGATGCTATAAAATATTTCTAGATCCGTTTTTTGGGGGGGACGATTAGGCACGCAGTTTTTTTGAGGGGGGCCGATTAGGCATGCAGTCTTGTCTCCTGTGCTAGAGAACCAGACGACATGTAATTAAAGCTGCAGTACACCAGAGTTCTGCTACTACTTCAGGTGCACACACTCGCAGGCAAAGCCTGGCCCCTTTGGTCTCTCACCTTGAGCTGGCTGGCGTAGTGTCCCAGTTTGATCTTGAGCAGGAAGCCGTCCTCCCCCACCTGGTGCTCGGCCTTCCTCTGTAGCTCCTGCACCAGGCCGTCCAGCAGACGCTTGGCCTTCAGCTCATCCTGGGGGTTCTCTAGCTCCACAGAGTCCCTGGGGGCCCGCGTCAAGGGTCAAATAGACAACATCAGATGTACTAAGTTGGGGGACATGGGTTTATACTATCCATGCCTCTATCTCCATCTCTCTCAATGTAACACACACAGGTTATCTTTTTTTCTGTGTACCCTTCTGTGCATTTCGCACAACACTGTATTCTCACATGCACACAAGGACTACAGATGCAAACTAGCTCCATAGCTTATTCCAGCACACACATATTGATGTGAAACTTAAATTATGATAAATATGCTACTGTCCCTGTCAAATAGCCTAAATTCCTTAGAAACACACACACACACACATTTAACCTAAAATTCTTTCTCTGGGTTTCCAGGTCCCGAAAAGACCATCATTTTTTTAACATCAACCACCAAATGTGCATACAAGACAGACTCCTTTTCTTGTACATTCACACACCCTAACGTTTGACCTTAAATTCTCCACTGTTCGGAAGTGAACTAAAACTGTCAAGACCCACTCAAGACTACAGAGAAGTGGACGAATAAGCAAAAAAAATACGGTATCAAATTCTAAATGTAACACATGCCATCGCTATCCCTTTTGTGCACACACGCATGCATGCAATTCATATTTCACCTTTTTCTCAGTCAGAGCACTTTTCTCAGTGCAATGACTTTTGTGGCTAAGTCAAAGCTTCAATCAGTTTAAGCTTATCCAACATCAAATGCAATGTCATCTTAGGGAGTAGTGAAAAATTATACTCTGCATAAGCAGTGCATATCATGCCCTTGATAAGCAAGGCCAATGCAAATTCAAGTCTCAAGCACAATACCTGTTTGTGGGCCGTTTAAGCACCTATTTCAGAGTGTGTGCATGATTTGTCCACAATGTGTTTAAAAAAAAAAACGTTAGCTTATATTAAAACATGCATGAGGCCTGCAGCCATTAATATGATCAATAAGACTAACCTGGATAAATAAAACAGGGAAAAGGGAGAAAAGTAATGAGAAAAGTGGTGTAAACCCACCAGAGCTGCCCCTCGATCCACTGGGCTAGGTAGTGGCGCACCTCTATGGGGAAGTGCTGTCCGTAGAGAGACTGCATCTGGTGCAGTGCATCCCCCTGTAGCTGCTGGGCTTGGATCCACACCGCCATCCTCCTTTAGCCCCCTGCCCGATGCACACAAAGACACAGGAAGGAGGAGAGGGAGAGAGGAGAGGTAGACGCAGAGAAGTGGAGAGAAGAGGGAGAGTGGAGGGGAGAGGCGGAGGAGGGATGAAGAGGATGGGAGAGTGGGTAGAGGAGAGCAGGGGAGAGTGGGTAGAGGAGAGGGAGAGCAGAGGAGATAGGGTGAGTGAAGGGGAGAGGAAGAAGGAGGGTGAGTGGGTAGAGGAGAGGAAAAGATTAGGAAGAAAGTCAAAATTGCGTGTGGGGTAACAATAAAATAAATACGCTATGTCCTATCCTGGTGAAACTCTACACCCCGGGCTGTCACAGGCAGAATGAGAGGGGCCAGCAGCTGCCAGACACTCAGAATGCTCCTTGGAAGGATATGTTGTTGACCAACCACCTCATTAAATCAGGATATGCCCAAACCTTACTCCAGCCAAGCCATCGCCAAAGCATTGGTTTAACAGGTGATGGGAAGTGTGCCATTGACTAGGCCTACACCCACTCCCAACACTCCTTTCCACATCTGGTGCCAGCACTCAGTCAGGAGTGGAATGACAACATAGCTAGTAGTCTTAGGCCAGAGTAGGCTCTAGCGATGCAACCCAGACTTTTGCTGTGGGTAGAAGACACACATATCTGTTTGCAGTGTCAATGGAATGTGGGTGCTGCCATTCCTCAAAAACAATATTTGCATTTTCAAATGTATGGTCAAGAAACACTGTTCTCGCTTCTGTATTTTGCCTTACAAACTGCTGACATGAATGCAAAAGCTTGAGAGACTAGTTAGTAGTATCCATTAAGCCCAACAAGAAGTCTTCAAACCCTTTAGCAGAAAACTATTGTTTGCATGTTGTCTCATAAAAATCAAACAGCACATCCATCCATGGCAAACACGCAATTCATGCAACTAGTTATCAATACAAGTAAGGGTTTTTGGACAGTCTAAAAACCCTTAAATGTATGATAGCTAGCTGTCCAAAAACCCTTACTTGTATTGATAAGTAAGCTGCATGAATGGCGTGTTTGCCATGTTTACAATGTACTGACACTGATGTATAATATAATACGAATGGGTGTGAGACAGCGTTGGACATGTAGCTAGCTTCATAGCACCACGTCATGGAATGTCAATTTTGCAAGCATTTGATTAGGCTTTTCGGGTTTAGCCAGCTGATTGACAGTTCTACTTTTGTAGCGATAAACAGTTTAGCTAGTTATAGCTAAGCACAAGTTATTTCGTGATCTGGCCAACTAACTTAGTTGCCTACTGTAACTAGTGTCTTTGCTTTAACTGTAACTTTACTGCTAGCATCGTTTGGAAGGGCTCGTAGTCAAGCGTTTCACGGTTAAGTCTACACGCGTTGTATTCGGCGCATGTGAGATATATTTTTATTTGATTCTAAGCTAGGTAGCTAACTAGCAAACTAGCCAGCCGTCTAACTTAGTTAGCCAGCTAACTATTTAACTAAGTGAGTATTGTTAAAGTACTTAGCCAGGCTAGGTAACGTTATCTAGTTTATGTTTGCCAGTGCAAACATGTATGTTGCTAGCAGCTACTGTAGCTAACTAGCTATCTGATAACGTTAGTTGGACGACACATATAACCAACTAGATAGTTAGTAGTTATGACCTTAGAAATACAATACAAATGGTGCATTAGGTTGCAGGCTAGCTAACGATAGTCAAGTTAGTTTACAAATATTTCGAAATGCGAAGAAAAGCATGTGTGCAATCAGTCGCTTACCTATTTCCAGACAGCAAATCTGATTTAGATCATAGGGCACAGGAAACACCAAAACTAAGCCCTCCAAACGTTTTGTGTTTAACGTTAGCTAGCTAGCTAATGTTACCCAGATATGTTGCTGTTTGTCATATCGAACCATAACCGGTATAGTAATGGCCAGTTTTCTCTTTGCTTGGCAAGAAAATCAACTAGCAACCAGCTGTTGCTGCTACTATGTAGCTAGCTAACTACGTTAACATCAAACTATTAGCATGCACCACCCACTTCCGGGGGGAATGCTCGTTTTGGTTATAGCAGCGCTACCTCCTCCGTCTTATAGCTAGCTAAAATAGGCTATTTATATAAGCTAGTTAATACACACCTACATTTACATTTTAGTCATTTAGCAGACGCTCTTATCCAGAGCGACTTACAGTTATTGCCTGGCTTTGTAACAACAACTGTACCATGTAGACCCTAAATACATGGGTAAGGGTAGGGACATATTGTTATGTATTTCTGCTATAGTCTAATAAAACAGAGACAATTCTTTGTTGTGAGTTTTCTGTATTTATTCTCGGTCCAGCTTTATCAGACTCAGATCCTACAGCCTCAGCTCTGGTTTCTCCTACTACGCGGTAGTGGTGGGTCGTTCGCGAATGAACTGATCTTTTTGGGAAACGTCGGGAACCGAATCGCATCGGTCAAAGAGCCATTCAGTTGGCTCCCTGATTTGCATAGTGCTACTACTGCTTTGAGCTCAAAACAACGTTTTTCTGCAGATAAGTTACAAAAGTTACAAAATAATTATCTAAAGAGGATGAATCCTCACTGCAGAAACAATAAGCACTTGGAAGAGGCTACCACCAAACATTTCGCTCCCTGCTTTTACATGACCACCCATTCTGGTCTGGATTTGAGCGATTTTATTACCGTTCTGGTTAGCGATTGTATCACCTGTATGGTTTTGTTGTCGCCCGACGGTTATTTTATGATCTATTGTCGCCCTGGATGTCTGCCTAGTTGAGGGCCTCTCTTCGGCCTCCTGTTACCTGCCGCACTGCTCCCCGCCTGGTCTGTCTCTCCCAGTCTGGTACAAGTGCCCCCCGCTCTCGCTCTCCAAGGGCTTTATTGGCATGGGAAATGTATGTTAACATTGCCAAAGCAAGTGAAGTCGATAGTAAACAAAAGTGAAATAAACAAATAAACAGTAAACATTACACTCAGAAGTTCCAAAATAATAAAGCCATTTAAAATGTCATATTATGTGTATATAGTGTTGTAACAATGTGCAAATTGTTAAAGTACAAATGGGAAAATAAATAAACATAAATATGGGTTGTATTTACAATGGTGTTTGTTCTTCACTGGTTGCCCTTTTCTTGTGGCAACAGGTCACAAATCTTGCTGCTGTGATGGCACACTGTGGTTTTTCACCCAGTAGATAAGGGAGTTTATCAAAATTGGGTTTGTTTTTTAATTCTTTGTGGATCTCTGAGGGAAATATGTGTCTCTAATATGGTCATACATTTGGCAGGAGGTTAGGAAGTGCAGCTCAGTTTCCACCTCATTTTGTGGGCAGTGTGTACATAGCCTGTCTTCTCTTGAGAGCCAGGCCTTTCTCAATAGCAAGGCTATGCTCACTGAGTCTGTACATAGTCAAAGCTTTTCTTAAGTTTGGGTCAGTCACAGTGGTCAGGTATTCTGCCGCTGTGTACTCTCTGTTTAGGGCCAAATAGCATTCTAGTTTGCTCTGTTTGTTTTGTTAATTCTTTCCAATGTGTCAAGTAATTCTCTTTTTGTTTTCTCATGATTTGGTTGGGTCTAATTGTGCTCTCATACACCGCATACGTTTTTAATGATCTGCTGTTGAACTATTTGATTAGTGATTCTTGCTATGTTTGTATTATTATTTAGGAACCCTTTTATTTGAAGTCATAGCTCATTTAATATGAGGGTTTAGCATTGTGTTGGCTACATATCGTAGATTGTTCTGTTAACTTTATGTGCTTAGAGCTGTGTTTTCTCTCATGTTAATTGCTAGGGCAATAAACAAACATGCTGCTTTTGCTCATTTTGCTGTTGTCTACTTGGTTTTTACAATGTTGGCGATACTTTTAGAGTCAATCTGCTCTGTGAATGAGGAAATATATTACTGTTTCTCCCTCGTGCCTTGGGAGAAACAACATGCTTGCTCTGTAAATGCACGCAAGAATCCTGCACATTTCTACCAAACAACATGGGAGAAATCGGACTCTTGCGCTTACATGTCAGGACTGTTCTCTTGGTACTTAACCATGTTTCTGGACTTTACACATCTCCTGAAATATGTGGCGTTAAAGACTCTGGTAACTGTGGATTGTCGTTCAAGTGCTGTCTGTAAATCTAAATGTTGTAACCCTCGATCTAGACGTACCAGTTTCTTGCTGCTTCTACTGTCTGGAAATGTGCAATCTAACCCAGGTCCTGACATTTTTACCCCTGCAGAATTAAGTAGTTAGAGTGGCCGGAAGTTTCTGCATATGAATGTAAGAAGTCTTCTGCCGAAGCTTGATTTTGTGAATATATGGATAAAAACTGCCGACCCTGACGTATTTATGCTTTCTGAAACCTGGCTCAAAAAATCTATTACAGACAAAAATATTGGCATAAATGGTTACAATGTTTTTCGTGCAGATCGTAAATCTAAGGGTGTAGTATCTGAAAGTCTATGATTTTGCTGATGTTTGCAAGTGGTGTGATAGATGAACTTTACTCTGCTTTGCTGAAACATCTGGAAAGCATTACTACATAGGCTTCTTGGAATAGAGGACATTTGGAGATATGTGGAGGCCAGGGATTGGTCTTTCAAAAACCACCCATCTTATGGATATAAGGATATAAATACCATGTTTTGAACAAAGGAGGGGAGAATAACATATTAGAGATTGGGTCAGTTGTTCTCCGGATTTCTGCAGGAGTCTGTAAATTGATACTGTAATCTTTGATGTAATAAACCATTATAATCAAGGACAGTGTCAGACGATTTCTTGTCATCACAGCATATCAGCATCGTTGTCTTGGCACCACACTGTATACGTAAAAGACAAATTCTCTGTTACTAAACCTAAGCAATTTGAATATCTGTCTTTGAACCTAAACCTTGGCGCATCTTTAAATATTGTTGTATCTTGTTGTTATAGACTTCCATCTGCTACTGCACGCTCTCTGGATTGTATTTTCGAATAGTTATCACAGTATGTCAACTCTGAGTTTGTCTTGATGGGTGATCTGAATCAGGATTGGTTAACATCTAGATCTGATCAACTCAAAATTCTATGCAATACCTTATAATCTCACTCAGATTGTCAACAGTGGAACTACGTTGAATATAAAGTATCCTCTGAAATCCTCTTTGATTGATTTGATCTTAACCAATACTCCTCATCTTTTTAATGCTTCTGGGATTTTTGCAAATGACATTGGTGATCAATGTGCTATTACCTGTGTGAGAGAAGGTAAAAGTCCTAAGCGATCTCCACGTGTCATTACAAAAAGAAACTGGAAGCAGTTTGATATTCAAGGTTTTTTACATGACGTATTTAGCATTGAATGGAATAGAATAAATCCCTGATGTTGAATTAGCCTTTCTAACTTCCACAACGTATTCCAGGATGTATGCAATAGGCATGCCCCTTTCAAAAAATGCAGGATTAAGGGCAGAGAGAGCCCTTGGTTTACTGATGAACTTACTCAAATCATAAGGGTACAGAATGCTATGTGGGCTAAAGCAAGAGGGTCTGGTTCGGCGGATGATTGGATGGCTTTTAAACGTCTTTGAAATCTGAGTGTGGCTATGACCTGAAAACTGAAAGCAGACCACTACCTTAAATCTACAAAGGATAATTTAAAAAAATAATCCCTCCAAATTTTGGCAAGTAGTAAAAGGTTTGGAGTGCAAAAAAGATACACAGCTTCTCAAACAATTGTTGGTAGACACACAGATTGTAACTGAGAGAACCTCTATTCTGAAAGCCTTAAATCAACATTTTCTAGATGCAGGCAGTTTATTTGAAAAGGTTGAAAGTCTAAATGAGACCCCTGTGAATTTACCTGACACCCCTATACACTCCTTCACTAGGTTCTCCTTCTCATCCTTCTCTGTTTCAGAAGTGTGTAAAGCCCTGAAAGATATTGATGGAAAGAAATCCCCTAGCCCTGATGATTTAGACCCCCGCCTCCTACACCTAGCTGCAGACATCATTGCTCCCCTTGTACATGTATTTTTAACCTCACGCTTGACGTTAAGGAAATCCGCTTTTGTACTGCCTCTCCTGAAAGGTGGAGATCCTTCGCTACTTGACAACTATCGACCCATATCAAAATTGTCTGTACTGTCAAAAGGTACTGGAGTCCTTAGTTAGTAGGCAGCTGAAGGCCTACCTCCAAGAAAACAACATCTTAAATGGAATGCAATCAGGTTTTAGGTCTGGCCACAGCACTGTTTCAGCAACATTGAAGGTTTTAAATGATATCCACTGTGCTCTTGACAAGAAGATACATTGTGTGTCTGTCTTTATTGATTTGTCGAAGGCGTTTGACACTGTGGACCATGCTGTGTTGGTGCAAAGGTTAAGATGTTGTGGAATTACTGGTCATGCTCTAGATTGGTTTATAAATTACCTATCAAATTGTACACAATGTGTAATGGCGGATGGTTGTAAATCTGTGTCCATAGAGTTGTGCTCAGGTGTTCCGCAAGGTTCTATTTTGGGCCCACTGTTGTTCATTTTGTATATCAACAACATTGGGGATCATATTGAAACAGCGGATGTTCATTTTTATGCAGATGATACTGTTCTTTATTCAAGTGGTAGTAGTTTATCTTTAGCTTTTGAAAATGCCCAAAGAGCATTTAACACCATACAACAGAATCTGTATGATTTGAAGCTGGTTCTGAATTCAGGTAAAACTAAATGCATGGTATTTTCAAATGCCAGGCATGTTACTAATCATGTCATTGCTACATTGGATGGACATACTATAGAGCAAGTCAAAGTGTACAAATATTTGGGAGTGTGGGTGGATGACAAGCTGAGCTTAACTGTTCATGTGGAGAACTTGATAAGGAAGCTCAAGCTGATAATAGGTTTTTGTTACCAGCATAAGGCTGTTTTACTATGGAGGACAGGAAGGAGCTGGTACGATGTACATGACTGGTGATTTTAGATTTGTTATACATATGCAGGCCTCAACCACGACCCTGAGAGCACTTGATTC